CAGCGGCCTCTCTTTTTTGAGGTTTTGGACGAGGTCCTACTAACATCAATTATGTTTATTTGCTTTTGTGTTGATGTTGTTTGTTTATGGGGTTCATTCCCTACCCTCTCATTCTTCATTTTTAGATTTTTATATATAATAATTTATTATCATTAGATGTTTATGGCATGGGGTGCGTTTTGGAGGTCTCCCCTTGAGAGGGTGCGGTATTGTGATGTATGGAGGATTGAGTGGTGACGGACGAGTTTTTATGGTGAATTTGGAAATTGTAATGAATGAATGGGTCGTGAATCGTATTAGCTAAGTATAAGATAGTTAGTGTCGACCAGCCTCAACCCCTCCCCTTTTTAGGCCTTGTGCCATAATTGTGTATCTTCACAATAAATCTTGACAAAACTCGTGAATAAAGAAAAGAAATGTTATCAAATAATCGATGTAATTGGCCGGTCGATCTTGGCATTAAAACTACAGGCGAGTGCAGTGATATATTAAAATTTTGCTAATAATTAAAGCAATAAATAATTAAAACCCCCAAAATAGAAATTATGTGGTTACCAAGATTATTTCATCACCGGAACATTTTTAAAACTATTTTTAGGGAATTCTTAGAATCTGTAATCCAAAGAAGAATTGAGACAACTATATTGGTAATAAGACTGAAGATATTTCCCTATTTGCAAAGAATCTGGCTGCTATTTAACCGCCCCCTAACAAAAAAACAAAAAAAACAAAACAAAACCTCATCATAAATATACAATGCCGATCGATAAAAGCAAATGCCAGGAGCTGTCCAAGAAAAAAAAAGAAAAAAAAGGAATTTCATATGTCTCGTTCCGTCCAAATCAAGAAGCTACGAGTCATCGGAGCAAAGAGAATAAAATCTGTCAAATAGTGCATCAGGAGACAATAGATCAAAAATGTAAAAGATTAAAAACTTGGGAAATAAATAGACTTTGCAAGCGAAATCTGTGGTACATGAAGATGATATTGTTGTTCACTGTTAGTAAAGATCTTGTAAACATTCGGAAGTATCTTTTAAAATAAACTTGAAGAATTTTAAAGTATCGAGTAGATAATAACTGCAAGAATGCACAAAAATGCTGGCAGTCGTACGAAAATGTTTATAAAGAACAGATTACAAGAGTAATAATTAGAAAATCTATTTAATACTTCGAATTATATAAAACATCTATTTCATATATGCCGTTATTTTTAATGTCACGGATAAACTAGTTGTAGTAAGAATTCTGTGAAGTGAAATGTATAGAGTGAAGGCTGCCGACATTGGCATTTAAGATTTTCTAAAAAGGTGCAGACTATGATGAAAAAGGTCTCAAACTTGATAAAAACACAATTTATCATAAAATATGTTTACGTTATTATTAAGAGGAAAGATATATTTTTTGATTATTTTATCAATTTTTTTAATACTTTCTAGCACATTCAAAATTTTGCTTAAAAAATCTTATTTTTCTTTCATAAGCGGGTAGGACAAAAATTATGTTGAAATTTAACGTCTTTTTTGTGGTAAAAATGTCATTGTTTTGAAAATTCTTACAAAAATCAAATAATTGTCGGATTTTAATGTGACCTTCAAGACTTATTCGTAAATAAATGAAATTATTTTAAAAATATTTGTTTATAAAATCTTGGCAAAAAATACGTTTTTTTTTTTACATCTGTTAACCCTACTTACTTAATTTTACGAAATTTCGCGAAATTAAAATTTCAAAGGTCTTCGTATTTACATTAGTTAAAGTAAGACTCTTTAGAGAATTTAAATCATCAATCATCAGTAGGGTTTGGCGCAGGGCCCATGAAGCCACTAATTTCAGTTGCCAAAAAGGCACTTTGTAAGCTGCAAGTGGTTTCCTAATAGTGTGGCGTCTGTTCACTTGATATAGATTAGGTTCGCTAGTCAGCCTAAACACAAAATAGGTGATCGCTACGTCAAGTTGCTTATTGACAATTTATACCAGTTCTTGGGTTCCCTGTGAACTCAGCAACATTGAATGATTCCCTCTACCATGTCAACCCCGCAAGCACCCTATCAAACATTTATGGGATGTGTAGTAGTAGTTTGTTCGTATGCAGTATCTTGCGTCTCCAAACATCAGCGAACTATGAATATACGGCACGGCTCAGCACCTTTTTAAAGGTCTTCGGACTATTTTTGGAATTGTTGTCATGACTGGGAGTTTTCCGCGACAGAGGAAGTCCTATTTGATACTAAAGTCTTACCTATGATTTTTGGCTTTTAAGTTTTAAAGAAGTCTGTTAAAGTTTTAATTTAAATTTAAAGTGATCTAAAAGTTATGCTTTTGCGAAAACTGTGGCATGAAGAGTAATGAAGTCTATCAGGAGAAACATTTACCAAATTACACTTGTTTGTGCTCCGTTACGCTAGGTGATAAGGAATTGATTGCTTGATGTTCTTGGCCTTATTTTGAAGATTATAAGCTATCAGAAATATCTAGTGAGGTAAATTGCAGTTTACTAGAACTTATATTAGGTAATTCAATTCAATAAGACTTGAACTGTCTTTCAAGCTGATAAACTATTCATAATATTACGCACTATAATATATATGCTCTTCCAAAGCTTTTTGGTTCCCTTAAAACTTATTACTTTGGACATATTATGGAAATGTGTTGGTCTTGTCACAAAAAACATTTTAAAGGAATTTAAAAAAAAAAACTTTTAAGAACCAATGTTTTCGGTCTCTTTAAATTAACTTCCTACAAGCAAATGCTGTATTCAGCTAACTAGAGTTCGTTAATCCATGCCGTTGAAGTTGACTATGTCACCTATGACCTTGCATATGTCAATCTGTTGATATTTGTCTATCTATCCAGTTGGAGAGATTCTGTCCTCACGAGGGCTTTTTTTTTTTAAGGTTTGCTCCTCAACAGGATTAATGTTTTGTTTGGTTTCTATTCATTGCCGGAACATAGAAGCACACAAGTCACTCCATCTTGAAAATTAGCATTCGAAATTCAGCTGGTCTTTCAATAGCTGGTGAGTGGTGAGAGAAGAAGAGGAACCATACCTTTTCCCAAGGACATTAGCACGTAGGTGAATGTAATGGATTCGACTGGAATTTGAACTCGGCTCTCCGATTCCTCAATCCAAGCCGCTAATATTCGGATAAAATTTGGACTATCAACTTATTCGCTTTTATTAGATTTTTAAACTTTTGTAATTATTTCAACAAATCTTTTATATTTATTTTTCATTTCAAATAATATATTAAATTAATTTAAAACGATGAAAATAAAAATTGAACATTTTTTAAATTTTTAATACATTTATCATGGCCACAAAGTTAACCATGTATAAGTTTTTATCTTTTAGACTAATTCTCCAGCCATGAACAAAATATTAAGGTCATTTCGACTGGCGAGGCATCGTTACTATGGTAACGATTGGAAAGAGAAAGTTTCTGCATTTACTACTATGGTGATGGGCGGAGGGAAGAAAGCGTGTCTCATTGACAACAAGTCAAAGAGCCAACCAGTTGAAATAAACGTGAATACACACACACACACACACACACACACACACACACACACACACACACACACACACATATATATATATATATATATATATATATATATATATATATATATATATAGGGCCGGTGCAACTTCCTCGTGACCTACCCCGGATCTATGATACGGGGGGATACCCCCACACTACTACATCTCAATTTTCACAAGGTAGTATTTATATAAAATACAAATTTTATTCTAACCTAATTCTATACAATAATGGATCATATGCAATTTAGGTGAACAATTAAAAAAAAAAAGTCGAAAATAAATATAATGTATCTAAATACAAATTAGAGACATGCCATAATAGATTAATCCATCTTAAGTTAATCGACAATGTTATGCGGTGGCAAATTTTACCAACGACATGAGATTTTTCTTGTTAAATTGTTGAATAATTTAACACATTCAAAATTATGGATAAAAAAAATAGTGAATTTTATATATTAATGTTTTTTTGACACTTAGCATGAACAAAAAAGAATTACACGGATTGAGATGGAAAAAAACCCCAAGAATGTGAAAATTTATCATCCTTTAAAAGTCAGTTGGGCTTAGTTTAATTTGTAACGTATATAAATGCAAGTAGAAAAAAAGGCAAATGTTGATAAGATAGCGTGAGTCACAAAGCACTTCCCGGGGCCCCAAAGTAGGCGTGATTCCCAATCAGGGGTTTGGGAGTAGTACGTACCGGCCCTGTATATATCCTCTTACAAACCTTTATTTCCTCTGAAATTCAATCTAGCTGGTAAAAATGGAAAAAAAAAATCAGCATTGGAAGCATGAAAAATGCTTCCAATGCTGGGATTGAACCCACGCCATTAGCGCTGGTGAGAAGTGGGTAACTGTGTCATCGACCAAGCACAGGCCGCTCACACAGGTCATAATTATCCTTGCCGTCCGAAAATGTTATCTGTTATGGCGTATTTACATAGAGCTGTTTAAATAGTCTGCAAATTATCATCTGTTTCTACCCATCTCTAAAAAAAATATAACTCTTATCTGATCTGTTATCACGATGATCACTGACCGTAAATTTAAATATGTAAATATTATTTCACTTCACGTAGGTTTTACCGAACACTAAAAGTTGAGTTTTTTGCTCTATAAATATGGAAATGTGCTTGACGTGTTTTTGTTTTTTTGTTTTTTTTAGGGGTGGGGGGGTTGTATATGTTGACCAAAGTTCAGGGAAGAGCTGGATTTTTAGCATTTAAAATTTTGAAGAAAATTTCTTGATTTCTTTAAAGAAATGTGAATTGTTCTGGAATCTAAAATTCCGCTTCAGAGAAACCACTTATTTTCCGGAGATTCAAACATGATGATTTGCATAAAAAATATATTATAAATCGTGGAGAGATAAATGGCAGATGCATACAAGTGTCTATGAAAATGCTTGAGGGCATTAAAGCACAGAATGGTTTCCCCGAAGAATCATAGACAATGTGCTTTATTTCGGGGTTGATCTATCTATCTATCTATCTATCTATCTATCTATCTATCTATCTATCTATTGTCAGGCGTTGTGCCATTCTAGGCTACACTTGACACTGAAATAAAAACAGAAATTAGTCATTAAATTCTATCACTTTAGGGGCTACAATAAATTTTGTTTCATGCAAATGTTGTGATAATAAGAAAGGTTATAAGTAATTTTCTATATGGAGTATCTTTCCACCCATCCTGTAGAACAATCATTATACAGTGAAAATTTCTGATCAAAATTCAACTAATAAATACTTGTCTGATTGCAGCTATATACGTTCTCTCACGTTTTGCAAGAACATTTTTTCACACACACACACACACACATAGAGAGGTTTTATAATATTCATTCAGTTTTCCTAGAAAAATGACAGACCATTGAAATGATCTGAGTGCTAGACAAAAGGATATAGACCCAATTGCCTCTACATATTAGAATGATTTTTTTGATAACAACATCATTTTATAGAAATCTGTACTCTTTTAGATCCTCAATAAAGAAAACTAAGAGTATTAAAAACGTAATGAAAATTTTTTTTCTTGTCTGTCACATGAAATGAAAAAAAAAAAAAGAAAGATTTCTGCAAACATCATATATATATATATATATATATATATATATATATATATATATATATATATATATATATATATAGTTTTAAGCTGTGCTATATTTATGGGATAAAGTGTTCAACATCAGAGATAGAGTTTTGTAAATATAAAAGTAAACATTGAAGTCAAAACTCAGAGGCGGCAGGCTGTTTTATATAGATGCAATCGTCAGGCCGACGATTGCGTCTAGAATTTCACTTTTACTTTATATATATATATATATATATATATATATATATATATATATATATATATATGTCTGTGTTGTGTTTATTTGTGTGTTTAGAAATGTACATTGAAGTTAACTACCAGAGGTGACCGTCTACTTCTTGCTTAAGGGTAATTTTCAGGCCATATGCGTTCTGTTCTTGCTCGGCTGTTTATTTATACAGGCCAGTGATGCATTATAGAGTCTCTTTACTCTAACACACATTTTGGTGGGCGGTGACGGTTATGTTTCGAATTATTCTAGAGGCTATTGAGTCAAAAACAATAAAAAGTTCTTGTGGCTACTGTGATGTAATGCTAATAAATAAAATAAATAAACAAAAAAATAAATTAAAACAAAATAATATATGAGTAAATAAATAAATAATAAATAAATTAACAAACAACTAAAAGTACACATAAACACAGGTAAAACCAACAACAGAATATTGAATAATAAAAATTAGAATAAAAAATTTAACAACAACACTATAAACAGCCAAAAGCTGCATCGGATCCACAATTATTTCCACTCAATAGCGCTTAGAATAATTCGTTACATCTTCGTTATCCACCATCAAAATAAATATTAGAACAGACAATAGACTCCAAACAATTCCTCACTGACCCGTATATATAAATAGTCGAGCACAAACATAACGCATATGGACTAACGATTGCCTTTAAACATGAAACAGACTGTCGTCTGTGGCCTCTTGATTGAAAGCCAAGTGATACTACGATTATATAAGATATTGCAAGATGCGGCAATTTTTTAACCGGACAAACACATGGTAATTGAGAGATCGCTTGGAAAGATTGATTCACGCAGAGTTCTAGTTTTTATCGCAATTTTCAAAGACGAAATATTTTAGGAACTGAAGTTTGTATCTGTGACGTTATTTCTTTTCCTGTTATTCGATAAGCCAGCCAGAGTCTGCAACACTCAGCAAATGAATGATAATTTAGACTTCACATATTAAGTACCAGTGACATCATTTTGGACTCAGGCATTTTTTTCAAAAGGGAAAATTATTGAATTAAACAGCAACGAAATTCTTATCAAAATATTGACTTTAGATATTTTCGTTTTCTTAGATGAGTGTTATTTTTTTTTTTGTGAATTTAACAGCTAAAAGAATTTTTTGCATGTAAATACTATTGGGTTTAAAGTACTTTAAAACCTTTTTTTTTAAATTAAGGTCAACTTTTTCTCTTCTTGGGTTTTATGTTTTACTACACACAATGTATTCTAAATAATGAATTGTTTTTTGATATTATAAAATTTTCTAGGTTTAATTTCGAATCTGATAGCAAATATGTTCTTTTGCAATGAATGTACTGTTTTAAATGTTCCGTCATCAACCGGATTTTTAGTCAACTCGTACAGTTAGTAATGTTAAATGCAAATAGAGAGAATCTAACCTAACCTATATTTACTATTCTGCACTTGTTTGATTTTGACATCCGCAATTTGTAGCTCGCGTCTAAGGATGTCCATTGTGCTGACGACCATAATATTATGCCTTCGTACAATTGATGGTTGGTCTTTTCTTCTCCATTTCTTTCAATGCATTGTCAAGAGTTCCTACAATTTTCTTTCTGTGTATGTAAGTACAGTAATATTAAACGTAAATAGAATTTTATCAAATACGATAAACATACAGTGTTTTGTAATTGACATATTTAGAGAAAAGTAGATGCATTCAATGAATGGTCTATACAAAAATTCGATCGACTCATCGTAAATAATGAAAAGAAAAATGCTAGATCGTAAATATCGAAGACCAATGTATTAAAACTGAAAGAAATTGAAAACATATGAAAACATTTATCATGAAATGCAAAAAAAAAAAAAAGCAAAAAAAAAAGAAAAGCATATTGGAATATAAACATGTCAATAATAATTATCATTATTGGATGGCTTAGAATTTCGAATAGTCTTGCTAAAAAACTATAAGTCCGAGGATAGTTGCAGTATAACTCTTATCTGATCTGTTATCACGATGATCACTGACCGTAAATTTAAATATGTAAATATTATTTCACTTCACGTAGGTTTTACCGAACACTAAAAAGTTGAGTTTTTTGCTCTATAAATATGGAAATGTGCTTGACGTGTTTTTGTTTTTTTTTTTTTTAGGGGGGGGGTTGTATATATGTTGACCAAAGTTCAGGGGAAGAGCTGGATTTTTAGCATTTAAAATTTTGAAGAAAATTTCTTGATTTCTTTAAAGAAATGTGAATTGTTCTGGAATCTAAAATTCCGCTTCAGAGAAAAACACTTATTTTCCGGAGATTCAAAACATGATGATTTGCATAAAAAATATATTATAAATCGTGGAGAGATAAATGGCAGATGCATACAAGTGTCTGTGAAAATGCTTGAGGGCATTAAAAGCACAGAATGGTTTCCCCGAAGAATCATAGACAATGTGCTTTATTTCGGGGTTGATCTATCTATCTATCTATCTATCTATCTATCTATCTATCTATCTATCTATTGTCAGGCGTTGTGCCATTCTAGGCTACACTTGACACTGAAATAAAAACAGAAATTAGTCATTAAATTCTATCACTTTAGGGGCTACAATAAATTTTGTTTCATGCAAATGTTGTGATAATAAGAAAGGTTATAAGTAATTTTCTATATGGAGTATCTTTCCACCCATCCTGTAGAACAATCATTATACAGTGAAAATTTCTGATCAAAATTCAACTAATAAATACTTGTCTGATTGCAGCTATATACGTTCTCTCACGTTTTGCAAGAACATTTTTTTCACACACACACACACACATAGAGGGTTTTATAATATTCATTCAGTTTTCCTAGAAAAATGACAGACCATTGAAATGATCTGAGTGCTAGACAAAAGGATATAGACCCAATTGCCTCTACATATTAGAATGATTTTTTGATAACAACATCATTTTATAGAAATCTGTACTCTTTTTAGATCCTCAATAAAGAAAACTAAGAGTATTAAAACGTAATGAAAATTTTTTTTTTGTCTGTCACATGAAATGAAAAAAAAAGAAAGATTTCTGCCCAAACATCATATATATATATATATATATATATATATATATATATATATATATATATATATATATATATATATTTTTAAGCTGTGCTATATTTATGGGATAAAGTGTTCAACATCAGAGATAGAGCGTTTGTAAATATAAAAGTAAACATTGAAGTCAAAACTCAGAGGCGGCAGGTTGTTTTATGCTAGATGCAATCGTTAGGCCGACGATTGCGTCTAGAATTCAATATTCACTTTATATATATATATATATATATATATATATATATATATATATGTATATATATATATATGTACGTCTATGTGTGTGTGTTTATTTGTGTGTGTTAGGAAATGTACATTGAAGTTAACTACCAGAGGTGACCGTCTACTTCTTGCTTAAGGGTAATTTTCAGGCCATATGCGTTCTGTTCTTGCTCGGCTGTTTATATATACAGGCCAGTGATGCATTGTGGAGAGTCTCTTTTACTCTAACGGTTATTTTGGTGGGCGGTGACGGTTATGTTTCGAATTATTCTAGAGGCTATTGAGTCAAAACAATAAAAGTTCTTGTGGCTACTGTGATGTAATGCTAATAAATAAAATAAATAAACAAAAATAAATTAAAACAAAATAATATATGAGTAAATAAATAAATAATAAATAAATTAACAAACAACTAAAGTACACATAAACACAGGTAAAAACCAACAACAGAATATTGAATAATAAAAAATTAGAATAAAAAAAATTTAACAACAACACTATAAACAGCCAAAAAGCTGCATCCGGATCCACAATTATTTCCACTCAATAGCGCTTAGAATAATTCGTTACATCTTCGTTATCCACCATCAAAATAAATATTAGAACAAGACAATAGACTCCAAACAATTCCTCACTGACCCGTATATATAAATAGTCGAGCACAAACATAACGCATATGGACTAACGATTGCCTTTAAACATGAAACAGACTGTCGTCTGTGGCCTCTTGATTGAAAGCCAAGTGATACTACGATTATATAAGATATTGCAAGATGCGGCAATTTTTTAACCGGACAAACACATGGTAATTGAGAGATCGCTTGGAAAGATTGATTCACGCAGAGTTCTAGTTTTTATCGCAATTTTCAAAGACGAAATATTTTAGGAACTGAAGTTTGTATCTGTGACGTTATTTCTTTTCCTGTTATTCGATAAGCCAGCCAGAGTCTGCAACACTCAGCAAATGAATGATAATTTAGACTTCACATATTAAGTACCAGTGACATCATTTTGGACTCGGGCATTTTTTCAAAAAAGGGAAAATTATTGAATTAAACAGCAACGAAATTCTTATCAAAATATTGACTTTAGATATTTTCGTTTTCTTAGATGAGTGTTATTTTTTTTGTGAATTTAACAGCTAAAAGAATTTTTGCATGTAAATACTATTGGGTTTGGAAAGTACTTTAAAACCTTTTTTTTTTTTAAATTAAGGTCAACTTTTTCTCTCTTCTTGGGTTTGCATGTTTTACTACACACAATGTATTCTAAATAATGAATTGTTTTTTTGATATTATAAAATTTTCTAGGGTTTAATTTCGAATCTGATAGCAAATATGTTCTTTGCAATGAATGTGCTGTTTTAAATGTTCCGTCATCAACCGGATTTTAGTCAACTCGTACAGTTAGTAATGTTAAATGCAAATAGAGAGAGAATCTAACCCTAACCTATATTTACTATTCTGCACTTGTTTGATTTTGACATCCGCAATTTGTAGCTCGCGTCTAGGGATGTCCATTGTGCTGACGACCATAATATTATGCCTTCGTACAATTGATGGTTGGTCTTTTCTTCTCCATTTCTTTCAATGCATTGTCAAGAGTTCCTACAATTTTCTTTCTGTGTATGTAAGTACAGTAATATTAAACGTAAATAGGAATTTTATCAAATACGATAAACATACAGTGTTTGTAATTGACATATTTAGAGAAAAGTAGATGCATTCAATGAATGGTCTATACAAAAATTCGATCGACTCATCGTAAATAATGAAAAGAAAAATGCTAGATCGTAAATATCGAAGACCAATTGTATTAAAACTGAAAGAAATTGAAAAACATATGAAAACATTTATCATGAAATGCAAAAAAAAAAAAAAGCAAAAAAAAAGAAAAGCATATTGGAATATAAACATGTCAATAATAATTATCATTATTGGATGGCTTAGAATTTCGAATAGTCTTGCTAAAAAACTATAAGTCCGAGGATAGTTGCAGTATAAATCACGGGTGGGCTCTGTAGGAGTTGAAATGCCTGAGCAGGTCTCTACGATAGGGATTGGCTAACTTCACTAACAGAAGCAGGTTCTTGGTTAACGATATCAGTAGGCCATTATCATGAATTAAATACATTCTCTCTTCCAGAGACATTTCATATACGAAATATGGAACAACTATTATGGAACAGATAGTAGCATTTATTAGGATCTGAGTGTTTTATTTAACAATTTTGATTTTTTTTCTACTCTGTATTTATTCTCGATTTAAAAAAGGGTGTTGGTAGCTTTTCGCAAACCTAATAGAAAGAATTAATACTGATATTATCTTGTTAAACAAATGCAAATACAAACAAAAAAAATGAAAAGACAAATTTATTTCTTTTAATTTAAATTTGCGCACAACTCCATAGAAATATTCAAGCGAAGATTTCGCTCTTGCATTGATTGATATCATTTTTTTTGACTGGCCCTATGACGGTCGGCAATGGGGGTAGCAGTTTTTACCAGGGGGTAATAAGCGTTCCTAAGTGGTCAGTCAGCTACTCTCATCTCGGTCTACTATAGTAACTTGTCATGACACCCCCCCTTTTTTTTTATCAAGATACAAGTTGATAAAACAGCATGCAGGAGGAAGTAGAGGCACGCCTTTCTTGAGACTCATAGCATTAAATGAGTAAAAATTGTGCGTGGCTGAAATATGTTAATATCCCTAATTCTCACATTCTTTATATTGTGCCCTTGAAAAGACAAAAAAATCTTACAATTTCAGATGTCGCCATTGGCTGACACCTGATAGCCTTGTGTAGTGCGTTTGCCCTAGGGAATCAAACCTGGATGCTATGTTAATTTATTTAAAGATTAAAATTCATCCTCCAGCCAAAATTAACGGACGAATAGATTGTAGTGTTATGTGAGATAAAACAGACAGAAAGGAATGGAAGGAAAAACCATTAGCCGACCGGAAAAGACTGTATTAGTAATTTTGAATTTCTGCCTGAATTACTGAAAGAAGGAATTGTCATTATTAAACACTGATTGATTTGAACTGAGTTCCTCACCTTGGGTGTTTTACTCACAATATTTCGACTCTTGAACACGTCAGTTTTTTTTTTTACTGTAAATCCGTCACTAGTGTTAATTAAGAGGGCGCTGTGAATTTTTGCAACACACCTACTACAATCATCCAGTAAGGAAAACAACTGTTGTCATTATATTTAAGCAGATCGCTTGGTTTACATATCTGCTTGGTCGCACCGAATTAGCTGATGTGATTGGCAAACAACTAGCCCCAAACTATCAAATCGCTTCAGCAATATATAACAACAACAACAACAAAAAGAAAACAAATTCCCCGGAAAAGAAAGACCCGTTTCATTTTTTCTCGTCTCGTTGAGAAAGGGCACAGGCGTGCCCGAAAATTCCGATTTTTAAAATCTTTCTCATCGTGCTAAAATTTGGACAAAAGCCCTATTGACATACAATAAATATTATAAATTTTATTATCGACATTATTTATTTTGATTTTTTTATCTGTAGAATTTCTTTCACCGGCCTATAAGCCTCAACGAGTAAATTGCATTGCACTTGAATTATTTGTTGATCAAAGGAAAGAGAAACTGAAAATAAAGGAAGCAAAAATTCCAGATATATAACAATAATTAATAGCATATATATATATATATATATATATATATACACCGGTTTGATTGGGTAGAAGCGTATTGAATTCGAGCAGAGATATAATCATTCATATTGTGGTTATTGATCTGAACAAACCTTGATCCGATTCAAATCGCCCTCCCGCCTCGTCCGTACACGTTACACAAGAGTCCAGCGATTTATTTTTCTTCTTCATCTTCGTCGAAATTAGTTGAAATTGATTTCAAAGTCACTAGGATGTTGATCTGTCTAACTACCTTATAATAACTAAGATACACAAGCTTGTGTGTCTACTCTATCTTCATTGTTAAACATTGTTTATTTCCCCTTTTCCCATCCCGACTGAGGAAACGCTTTCTTGACAGGTCATTATTAGTGAATCTGGTCTTGCAACTTGGCTCATCACTTTCGTCCATCTTCTACGCAAGTACTTGTCTTTTGCAGGCTACATTCATTGTCTTCCAACTATTATCGTAAACATCTTAGGACAGAAATTAACCGCAGATAACAACTGAGTTCTTCCTAGAAACGTGAATTAAAATGGCTG